GGAACATCACACCCTTGTAATCTACAGAACCCTGGCTCCAATATAAGACAAAATGTATTGAGTAAAAATATTGATACAAGGGATTATTTTATTGAACAAAAAATATTAATTTACTTTAGAAATGGATAAATGAGGGTACCATTCTTCTTGAGTTGCTAACACACACATGAGAAATTCTTTTTTTGTTGTTTTTGTATTGTGTGTGTTTTGAAAAAGGATACTGCTAGGTTTTTTTTTGGCAATTTTTCAATAATCCTTGTATCAAAGCACCTTTCTTTTAGTGCTGATTTGAATTTTTAAAAAACTAAGAAAATGTCATTCATCCAGGAAATATGGTGGTTGAATTAGTATTTAAACTTAGTTTTAACATTAAAAAAGAAATAAATAAAAACAGAATCAAATATGCTGGCCGTGAGTGGGCATGATCATGATGTAAGATCCAATTACAATTTGCCAATTTTCTTTACATTTTTTTCCCCCGAATTGCTTCACATAAACATCTCGGAATGTTTAAATGTTGTACCTCATTGAAGATAATTGTGGTCCAACGACAGCAGCTCTTTTTACTAATCAAGAGACCTCACCAAACCACCTTTTGGAATGTATGGGAGCCTCAAGACAGGACCTATATTCCAACCCTACCAAGATTGTGAATTTGATCTATGAATATAATCTCCATGACCTTGTATAATTATACAATGGGATAATAAAAAATAAAAAAATTGTGGTGAACACACACACAACGCCCCTTATTGCCAAAAAATAACCCCGCATATCAGTGTTTTGAATTTTAACATCCTTTATATATAGTCAAGTATTATAGTCTTCTTCTAATCTGCTATCTTGTTTACACACTTGATAACAGTAACTATTTAAAACATGCTGTGGTAAAATTTCTCATTCAGTTAGCAGCCCCGTAAAAAAAAAAAATCTAATCCAGTACTTTTGTCTGAAGATGGTAACAATGTTGTTACCGAAACATCACACACTATTTATTTATTTGGATTTGGTCTTATTACCTTGTGTTTATGATATATAATCCAAATTGTGCCTTATAATTATAATCCAAATTGTGTTTTATCAGTTAATAATGTAGTTTGGGGGTTGCAGATAAGGCACATATGATGTAGGAGCAACAGCATTAAACCATCAAGTGTAGCTTACATCCCATCAACAAAGGTAGATACCCACCACCACCAGGCGAGAGTTGCCGTTGACAAAGGTGTCTGTAGAGACGGAGCGGGAGATCTGGTGGCTGGTGCCGTCCCTCCGCATGTAGCTCCAGGAGGCTCTGCGTGGCCCCAGGACTGCTGGTGGGGCTCTGCTCGGGGGGCCAGACTTGTCCAGTAGCAGTTCATCTACCATGCCTTGGAGGCAGACACTCATGAGGATGGCCTGGAAACATGCTGGACTTTAGACTGGTAGATAGTAATGGCCAACTTCAGCTTGCTGTATATGAAAAAATAGTACAAATGTGATATTGTACTGGGATGAGGTGCATAAATCAAGAAAAAAAAAAAGGCATCGTGCAACTAAAAGTTGCTGATGGTTTGCGCCATCTATCGAATAAAAATTAACTATTTATAGATGGAAATTTTGCCAGGAGGAAATTGATCTAAAGAGACAAGGGTCGCCTCTCCTGTCAAAATAGATGTCTAAAACCAGACAACATCTATTGACGCATCTGGTTTTAGACATCTATTTTGACGGGAGAGGCGACCCTTGTTTCTTATTAACTATTTGTTTATATTTATTATAATATTGATGGTGCAAGCCATCAGCAACTTTCAGTTGCATGATAAGGAGATGCCTTTTTTTCTTGACTTGTCATATATGCAATGGAGAAAATAAGAGTATAGCTAAACTAAAATAATAAACTTGTTTATATCTCCTTAACCTCTACCTGATATGAACATATCAAGAGATTAGCTGATCTCAATAAATAGGTGTACACATTGGAGGAATGAAAATAAAACAATCTTTTTGCAATGCTGATGACACCACACTTCTAGCAGAAAACACAAAATACCTAAATGAGATTATTGAGAAAGTTAGAGAAGAAAGTTTTTTTTTTTTTGCTTATCTCAAGTACACGTGGTACAGACCATGATAATCATGGTGAGTAGAAGAATGCGACTGCTTTTACTGTAAGTGCACCACATGTCTACACATGTGAAAAGCAGTTTGACTTTGCACTTACAAATGTGCCAGAAAAGAAGTAAGTGAAAATTTTGGTTTAAAGTTGAATATCAGCAAGGCCAGAATTATAACCACCGCTAATGATAAGGCACAATTTGGATTATAGATTATAAACACAAGGTAATAAGACCATTCTTCCTATGAGATGGAGAAAATGAATTCCAAAGCGAATATCAATGTTGATGCTAAGCCATCACTTGAAGATTCTATTTTAAAGAGTTCAGGATCTGAAACTCTCCTCTTGGATTTGGTCTTATTACCTTGTGTTTATAACCACCGCTAATATAAATAGCTTTAAAATGAAACAAGAAAAAAAATTGATATAGCTGATCACTTCATATTGTTAGGATCCATAAGATGGGAGGTTGGTTAGAGGAAGTAAAAATAAGAATAGCACTAGGAAGGAATGCAATGATGAAATTGGACAAGGTATTTTATTCAAGAAGGGAATTAAATGTAGAGGCTTTATATTCCCTGCGGCCAATAATGGATATGAGAGCTGGACTCTCAGAAAAGAACAAGAATTGAATATTTAGAGAGAGACCATATTTTAACCTTAAATGAAATGAAACCTGTTAGAATTCTCGAGTCCCAAATATGCATGATACAACAACAGTGACAGAAAGGAACTGTGCAGGATTCACCCAGAGCAGCAGAAAGAGACTCACCATTATGTAAATGTAAATGATGGTAAGAAGGAAAGCAGAGAAATACAGTTAAACCTGTCTATAGCGCCCCCTCTAAATAGCACCTCCCTCTCTATAGCGCCCGATTTTAAATATGTAGTACGATGCGATTTACATTAAAGGTGACCTGTCTATAGCACCCTATTTTGGTAAGTCCCAAGATGGGGCACTATAGACAGGTTTAACTGTATATGTAATTGTAGAGAGTAGAGCTCCTCGTGATGTTCCTCATATTTCCTTAGATTAGTCATTCACTGAGGGTTGAATCACATTATTGCATATAACTCCTTCCAGGCCCAGTTAGCTGTTTCAATTGTGGCTCTGTAAGGGACAGAATTTCAGGTAGAGCCATCACCCAAGGTGCCTACATCTAGAGTACTTCAGAAAACATTATGACTGAGGAGAGTGGGGACTTCTTGAAGGAGTTTAACAACCAAGGAGATAAGCATCACTGTGGGTATTAACAGGGTGGTCTCACAAATCTACCTGGTCACTAACGAGGTTGATCCACTGCAGCTTGTCCTTGGCCATGAGGTACTCGAAGGAGAGTTCCAGCCGGAGGCAGTCTCCTGAAGAGTTGAAGACTGTCCCTCCTCCATCACTGGGCGGCTTGTCTGCAATCTACAGCAGGCCAACCTTGTCATCACACAAGTTGGATCTCTGAAATATCTTGACAATATGGAATATCTGTCAATTTGTGAGGGTGGACCACTAAAACAAAGTAAAAAGAAACTTTATTTATTGATAAATAGGATTTAAAGAGAAAAGAAAATAAGACCTAATCCAAATAATTTATTAGTGTGTGACGTTTCGGCAACAGCATTGTCACCATCATCAGACAAAAGAATAAATGAAAAAAAAAATTCTCATTTATTCTTTTGTCTGATGATGGTGACAATATTGTTGCCGAAATGTCACACACTAATAAATTATTTGGATTAGGTCTTATTTTCTTTTATTATATGATCTATAATCCAAATTGTGCTTTATCAGGATCTAAAGAGGTATTGCTGTACAAAGGTGTGTTTACCAAAGAGATGTGCAGTAGAACTACCTCTCTCTATGGGACAATACCTAGTTACAGAGGTAAAATGTCTTTAGAAAGAGAGGTGTGGTCTTACTGGAGAGTAACTAATTAGTACAAATTAAAACTGTCCTTGATAGAGAGATGTGGTCTTACTGGAGAGTAACTAATTAGTACAAATTAAAACTGTCCTTGATAGAGAGGTGTGTCCTCTCATGGAATATGTTCTACTGTAAAGAAGAGAGGACTTACAGAAGTGGTGATTCTCCAACATCGGATACGTGTTACTCTGAAGGAATATTCTGAAGGCCCGGCTTTCTGCAAACAACAGACAACTTGAACAACCTCCATAGCAGCAGCTCTGATAGGAAATCAAAGGTTTAGAAACCATTTTATATAGAGACAAAATAGACAGTCGTGGATAAAACTTAAGGAAGTTTCATATTATAACATAAACCACTCCTTATTTGCTTATTTAATTTGCTCCTTGAAAAATAATAGTAATAAAAATAGAAAAAATATACATGCTAAAAGATACAACTTATTAAGTTTTGCCCATGAGTGCATATAACCTGGGTTATTGGGGCACATTGACCCCACATCAATTACAATTAGTATTACATCATAGACCTGCAGCTCCAGAACACATTTTGGCTTGCATTAGATGCACTAAACAGGACCTTTGGGAGAGGCCGCTGCTCATCATAAAACAGCTCGAGGAGCATGAACTCATGGAATTCGTGTAATCTTTACCAAGGGGATAAGAAACAACAACAACAACAACATTACATCATAGAAGTTACCACAATCCAAAGGTGAAGTTTAATTCAGAGGAATCTTATAGGACCCTACATTTTTATTTTTTTTTATCCCTAGTACACGTGATACAGGCCATGATAATCATGGTGGGAAGAAGTTAGCGACTGCTTTTACTGTAAGTGCACCACATGTCTACACATCTGAAAAGCAGTTCGACTTTTGTACACTTACAAATGTGTCAGAGCCCTGTTTGGTTACTTGCACTATCTGGTGGGGTTGGACTTTTGCAAGAATCGGGGACCAATGGAGCATTTTCTTTAATTAGAAAAAAGTGTCCAATACGGGATTCGATCCCGGGTCGTAGCAGTCGAAAACCAACGGTATAGACCACTCTTCTACCAACCCCCTTGGACCCTACAATAAATCTCTAAATTATAGTTGAACCTAGCTATAGCAACATCACTTGAGAGCAAGATTTTATGGTGCTATATAACTCCATGTTATCCCACAGATGATATAATTGGGACTTTAAAATTATAAACTAAGCTGTTATATTGGGATACAGTGGGATCTAAAGGCATGAGAAATCTTCAGGATTTCCTGTCTTTTTGAAAACCCTAAGGTAAAAAGACCATATACAAACAAAACTAAATTATATATGACATTTCAGTGTAACAGCATTGTCACAATCTTCAGATAAAATGTACTAAATTCGTTCATTACTTTCTGAAAAGATTCATTTATTTTGTCTGAAGATGGTAAAAAGCTGTCAACAACCAAAGCAACAAATAAACTCTATTTATTTGACACAAGGTAATAAGACCAAATCCAAATAAAAAAATAGTGTGTGACGTTTCGGTAACAGCGTTGTTACCGAAACGTCACACACTATTTTTTTATTTGGATTTGGACTTATTACCATGTGTTTATAATCTATAATCCAAATTGTGCCTTATCAATTCTATTTATTTGAATTTTGTCTTGTTACCTTACCTCATGGTTCTCTCTTTGGGTTATCCCCAATTGTTGTTGTTTCTTATCCCCTTGTGTAAAGATTACATGAACTCCATGAGTTCTGCTCCTCAAGCTGTTTTATGATAAGCAGTGGGCTCTCCCAAAGGTCCATCCCAAATTGCACTTTATATCTCATGGATCTAATGGAATGGTATGTAGGGGTGCAGCTTTCGTTGATCATGGCACCATGATCCAGGCACACTTTGGTGAAAGTCTGACTTTGCCAGTAGTTTGAGGCCGTTCCTAACATGGAAGCAGATGCCTTTGCTGCCGACTCTAACATGAGTACAGACGCCGCTCCTACGTATCCATGGAGTGGGACCCTTGCTGAGGTCTATCAACCGGGTCAGTTGAAGTCAGGATTTTTAAAGAGGTCTACTCCTCTTCTAACAATGCTGCTGTTGGTCCGCGACTGCTTATTCATCAGAGTTATTCTGCTAGTTTCGCAGCTGGCCTTCATATCTGAAGGTCATTCCCCTATCCGCTACCTGGGGACACGCCCTGTAGCAGTCAGCTCTGCCTAGGGGTACTTGTTGTTGTTTCTTATCCCCTTGTGTAAAGATTACACGAATTCCATGAGTTCATGCTCCTCGAGCTGTTTTATGATGAGCAGCGGCCTCTCCCAAAGGTCCTGTTTAGTGCATCTAATACAAGCCAAAATGTGTTCTGGGTACTTCATATATGAGGTATTATTGAAAATTCTTGATTGTATCTATGGCCTAGCACAGGGTGTGAGGTACTCACTGTCTTGACCCGTAGGTGGAGCTCCCGGCCCCCCACGGCCACTATGGCGGGGGTGTCAGGGTGGGGGAAGTCACAGATACAGGGAGGGAAGTGTAGGTAGCCGTAGAACTGGAGGGACCTGGCCAGCTGCAGGTACTGGAGCACAGACATCCCATATGAGCAAGATACAGCCCAAATCACAGGTTGAAATCAACAATTTGAAAAATATTCAAAATAATGTAAAAAGAGCGATATGTTTCCATATCCATATTTATAATATAATATAATGCGGCTTATGATTGTAGAATGACATTTGAAAATTATCCCGCATGTGTTTCTTTTGAACGAAAAGTCCAAATTTATTTTAAGGAGAAATAACGATTATTTCTATCCTTAAGGATGAAGTATGAAAGGATGAATTGTAAAAAGTAATGATGAATGGATCGTTATTTCTCCTTAAAATAAATTTTGATTTTTCGTTCAAAAGAAACACATGCGGGATAATTTTCAAATGTCATTCTAAATATCTCTATATTTATTAGACTAGCTTTCCAGCTAAGAAAAAAAAAGTTCTTCTATAGCCCTGAAACTTTACAAAATGCTCATTAGATAATGTTTTATGGCTGTAGAATAGTTTATTAGCTGGAAGGAGGCTAGACTAGTGAAACTATAAACCCCACGGACTTACTTCCTTCTTGGCCCCCCTGGCCTGGAGGGAGTCCAGCTGCTGGCGAGAGTCCGGCCCTGCCCTCAGCCAGCCCCATTCCACCTCTGCCACAGCCTGGACGTAGAGTAGGTGGAGTCCAGCTGGGTCTCTTGACACCTCCGTGTCATACCCCATGTCCCAGTAGCTGTGGGGACACACCAGTCCTTGCACTAACTCTATTGTAGCCCGGCCATGCATGGAACTTGTTGTTTACAAGGTAATAAGACCTGTTGTTGTTTCTTCTTATCCCCCTTATGCAAAGATTACACAAATTCTACAAGAAAATAAGACCTAAAACAAATAAATTAATAGGGGCTCTGGCACATTTGTATGTGGCAAAGTCGAACTGCTTTTCACATGTGTAGACATGTGATGCACTTACAGTAAAAGTAGTCGCCTACTTCTACCCACCATGATTATCATGGCCTGTACCACATGTACTAGGGTTAATAAAAAAAAAAAATAGTGTGTGACATTTCAGTAACAGCGATTTAACCATCATCAGACAAAAAAAAATGTATTTTTTGTTTGATGATGGTAACAATGCTGTTATTGAAACATCACACACTATTAATTAATTTGGATTAGGTCTTATTTTCCTGTTTTCTTAAGTTTTGTCTATGATTGTATATCATACTTCTTTAATATGCTCCAACTCCACTCCAGCACATATCCTGGACTGTTGTATTGGAGCTAAGAAGGAAGACCTATACAACAAAACTATAGTAGAAAAAAAATTATTGCTTTCAACCTTCATGACCTGGTGTAATCTTACCCTTGGGATAATAAAAATAAATAAAAACTTCTTTAATTCAACCCTAGTTTAAATCCCAACTGTAAACTTTAATTAGAGGAATAACCATAATTACATATCCCCCGGGGTGGATATATTTCTAACTGGGCTAATTACAGCAGTGGCCCACAATAAGTGGAGAGCCAATGTTTTATAGCCACAACAAGGAAGGAAGTAGCAAGCTATCCATTGGTGGCCACTGCCTCTGCCACAGTATAGGTGCAACATTCAGTTGTGGGATGGTTGCGTGCGTGTTGGTGTAGCTTGTGGAAAGGCCGCTAATAAAATTATAATTATTTTTATAAAATAAATTAATTTATTTAAAGCCTCGAAATATATAGATAGGAAAGAAGTAACGGCCACTGGAAGCAAGCCTTGTTGTTCGAACGACGCACGTGGCAAGAGTCCCGGATGCCGCCCATGCATGCGTAGTGAGGCCGCCACATTACTGCCTGTATGTGTAGTGAAGCTTTGTCCCAGTCCACACTGGCTGAAGCAAAGTGTGGTCGCCACATTACTGCCCGTATGTGTAGTGAAGCTTTGTCCCAGTTCACACTCGCTGAAGCAAAGTGTGGTCGCCACATTACTGCCCGTATGTGTAGTGAAGCTTTGTCCCAGTTCACACTCGCTGAAGCAAAGTGTGGTCGCCACATTACTGCCCGTATGTGTAGTGAAGCTTTGTCCCAGTTCACACTCGCTGAAGCAAAGTGTGGTCGCCACATTACTGCCCGTATGTGTAGTGAAGCTTTGTCCCAGTTCACACTCGCTGAAGCAAAGTGTGGTCGCCACATTACTGCCCGTATGTGTAGTGAAGCTTTGTCCCAGTTCACACTCGCTGAAGCAAAGTGTGGTCGCCACATTACTGCCCGTATGCGTAGTGAAGCTTTGTCCCAGTTCACACTCGCTGAAGCAAAGTGTGGTCGCCACATTACTGCCCGTATGTGTAGTGAAGCTTTGTCCCAGTTCACACTCGCTGAAGCAAAGTGTGGTCGCCACATTACTGCCCGTATGTGTAGTGAAGCTTTGTCCCAGTTCACACTCGCTGAAGCAAAGTGTGGTCGCCACATTACTGCCCGTATGTGTAGTGAAGCTTTGTCCCAGTTCACACTCGCTGAAGCAAAGTGTGGTCGCCACATTACTGCCCGTATGTGTAGTGAAGCTTTGTCCCAGTTCACACTCGCTGAAGCAAAGTGTGGTCGCCACATTACTGCCCGTATGTGTAGCGAAGCTTTGTCCCAGTTCACACTCGCTGAAGCAAAGTGTGGTCGCCACACAGTAAATGGCCAGCAAGAGCTGCAAATCTTACAGAAAAATATTATACAGAGCGGTTTATTGTGAACATCACAGCTTCTACCTATAGATTCTACACAAAGAAGTGGTGCCTCTCTATAGAACACCATTTTCTCTACATTTTAGAAGAAACTGAAATATTTTATTGAATAACTTTCTACTGTACATACTGCTAGAGGACCCAGAAATAGACAGCACCAAACAACACTAACAAGATTTAGAACAGGCCATCTCAATCCATTGAAGATAGAAAATAACAACAAAATCTACCCCACTTGCCCAAAATGTAGCTTGACACCTGCAGCTCCAGAACACATTTTGGCTTGTATTAGATACACTAAACAGGACCTTTGGGAGAAGCCACTGCTAATCATAAAATTTCTTGAGGAGAATGAACTCATGAAACTTGTGTAATCTTTACACAAGGGGATAAGAAACAACAACATACTGCCATGGGAAAAATTTGGGAGAGCCTGGCTAATCTCTGTGGATAACCTTCACAGCAATTTTGTCAATGTGTTTGTAGCGTGCTTCCTTTTAATTTGGACTTCCTGGTAAAGAGAGAAAAAAGAGACAAATAATTAGCCCCAATTAATAAAACTAAGTGGCTTGTACGCACAACTCTCTACACCATGTCCAGATTCAACTGATTAGCTCTCTACTGCCCTACCAATGGAAAAGAGAAGAAGACCAACAGTTCAATACTGTCAATACATCAACCAGATCTTATATCTCTTATATTTATCTATTGCATTATATTGGACAAAGAAATGATGGAGGATGATCATTCGTGCCAAACAGGTCACCAGAGATTTGTAGAATTGTACAATAGAACCTTTCTGTAAAAGACAACACATAGTTGCTAAAATGTATACTTTTATAGTCTT